CCAAATGCTCAGTGCTTTGAAGTGTGGGTGTGGGACACACACACATTTAACTCATTTCTAGAACAAAGCAGTCAGTCATGCTGATTTTGGAGTGAGCAAAATTGAGCCGACAAACATAATTAGCTCCCGAGCACTGCTTTGAATTTGACTTTTTGGAGAAGTGTAACAGTGTTCTACACTTAAACAACAACATAATACTCCATCTCTGCCTTCATCTGCAAAGGCAGCTTTGTCCCTTACCAAGGTTGAAAGGATAAAGACCATTAAGAATATATTATTGCTGAGGAAGGAGGCGTTAATGATGGCGTTTCACTGTTAAACAACCCATTGACCTGCACGGTGCTACTCCTTCCCCATGCTCAGAATATGCTTTACACAGCTTTGGCAACTTGGGATGTTGCTTCTGGAGTTCTGTGGTGTCCAGCGCCCTGACAAATGTCATCTCTCACAATGTCACCTGCTCAGTAAGTCTAGGGTGCAAGAGGCAAAGGGCTTAATAACAGAACATGGAACTTGAGAGACGATGCAATTTTTAATCCATCTGTGTTTGATTAAAGATCGTCAGAGCTGTTCGGTGGTTTGTGTGAAATGTGAACTCAATCCAGTTCCTAGCAGGCAGCTGATTACATTATAAAACCCATCACCTCACTTTACTCCCGCATCTGAGCAGAGGGGCCAAGGCCGGTGTGGACCACAGAGACTGTACTAGTCCCATCACATGCCACGTAGACATTCATTGCGTTAGAGTCACGTCAGCTTGGCAGGGCAGCTTGCACAGCTGTTGGTATCTGTGCTGTAACTGTAAAGAGGACTGGGCTAGAGGGCTTTCAGTTCTGGCAGCTTGTGCCATCATCTTGAAGCAATGGGAGCTGCCTGAACTTCTCTGCTTCCCTTTTATTGAACCTCTGACCCTACTCCCATCCCTGGCCTTGTTTGATTTGTCACAAGCAATCAGTTGACCCCAGTTTCTTTTTTAGCCCCTCCCCTCTTCTGAGGGAGCAGCCCAAGGTGGTTCTTTGGAGGTAGGCCTTTCGGAGTATGGCTATGCTACACTGCAGCTAGAAGCGTGCCTCCCAGCCTAGGCAGAAAGATTTGCACTAGCTCTGCTCGAGCTAGCACACTAAAAAGAGCAGTGTGGACATTGTGGCATGGGCGGTAGCTCAGGCTAGCCACCTGAGTCCAAGTCCCCCAAACCCTGGGTCCACGCTTCGGTGGCTAGCCCAAGCCACCGCCCGTGCCACAACATCCACAGTGCTATTTTTAGCGTGCTAGCTCAAGCAAAGCTAGCAGGAGTCTGTCACCCAGGGCTGGAAGGCTCACTCCCGGCTGCTCTGTGGACATACCCTCAAGGGCTCTCTCGTCCAAGCGAGGTCAAATAGCCTGGCAGTCTAAAAACAGGTGCTCTCACACCCAACACAAAGGAGTTAGGGAGTTGGTGTTGTGGGGCTGGATCAGCCCTTCCTGTGGTGAGACCTGAGGGAGGGAGCTGAGAAAAAGGCTGTCTCCAAGGACCACTTTGCAGAGTTTCTCTTCAATCAGCCCATTGAGGGCCACACAGGGTGAGTCACAGAACTGAGGAGTCCTTGGCAACATGGGTCTTAGAGACCCTGCAACCAGGGACACCCAGACCACAGCTGGCCCCTTTAAGGAGGATCCCTTCCACAAACATAGGAAACATAGTACAGCCCTAGGAAATATTTATTTTTCCAGGTAAATTCCATGGGGCTGAAGGGAGGACAAGGTGTGCTCTTCCCGGCCCTACCCAGTGTGAGACGGACAGCTCCCTACCTCCAGCCCAGCAAGGCCCTGCTTCTCCCTCCATGTAGGCCCTGACCCTACAGAGACCCCTCAGTGTGGTCACTGGGGTGGGAATGCTGCCACAGAGCCAGCTGATCCCCTTCTCACACACTGGAACAGTGAAGTCTGGCACTGGAAGGTCCCCTCTATACACAGATCTTGGGGCATGATTGACCCTCTAATCAGAGATCGATGATTGGGCACAGACAATAGCAGAATTAACAGAGACCGCTTTTAAAAAACAACAACAAAGACAGCCAGAACCAAAGGATTAAAAATATTCAGGTAACTTTAAAAATAAATCACATTCCTTCTCACTTCCTGCCAGGACTAGAAAAGCAAGCACAAAAATATTATCAAAGATGAGCTATTCTCAAGATATGTCTATCATGGCAGAGCCTAGGTAGCTCTGGCCATTGTGCGCAATGGTCTGATTTATAGAGTTCTCTAGCCCAACTTCCAAACCAAATTGCCTGTAAAATATGCCTGCGTTTTTGAGTAGAATATTCAAGAGGGACCCAGCTCAGTAATAGTGCATGGTTAACATTCAGCTTCTGCATATCTGGAGCAATTTTCCTGTACAAAGTTTTAATCTGCAGTTCTGTATTTATTTCACAGTCTTTGACCATTGATGAGATATGTGGATGGAAAACTTATGGGAATTAAGAATTTTACTTCACTTGACCTGAAGTTTCCAGCATATGCACTCTGCAACCACAGGGGCCCGATTCTGTTCTCCAATACACCAGTGTTATTCCAGGGTTATGCCACTGACGTTTGTTGATCTACTCAGCATTTATGCCAGCGTAACAAAGTGGAATTTGTCCCATTATCATCCCACTATTTAGATTTCTGATTTTATTACAAAAAACGTAGGTACAATTTTTAAAGAATCATACAAGAATTATCTATAGGGTCAGTGATGTGTCACACTAGAAAATGAATGAGACAGGGAGATGCTGAGTTTTTAAGGCAGTCGAATCCAAGAGTATAGGAGTTCAAGAGGGATCTCAATAAATCTCCAGGCACAGAGAATGTTAGGGGAACTTTTTTTTTTTAAAGCAGGAAGAGAGAAATCTACTGAGATTAAACACCTGTATGATGTATTGTTTGTGCTGTTGGGCTTTTATTCAAGAACAGAAACAAGTGCCCTATTGCCAACCTCAAGTGGTCAAACTCATGGATCGGGTCCCACAAAAATCATGAGATTGGCTTAAAGGTCACGAGATTTTAAATATGGATTCCTTTCACCAACCTTCTGGTTTTGGAGCCTTTAGGCTTCATGTTTTCAAGCTTTTCTCTGCAACTATGAGGGCTAGAAATTGACTAATTTTTTAAAATGAAAGATAAGAAATGGTTTTCAAAGGGGGTGGAAGCTGGCCTTTAAAACGACCCTCCCCAATCTTGTATGGGCAATGTATTTTTCACATGGACCGACCTGGTGTTGTATGAAGAACCCATTTTTGTGCACACAAATGGGATCAGTGTTTGCAAACTGCACCATTATGACCCTCCCTGCGTCTGCAAATCCAGTGTGCGTGTGTGTGTGTGTGTGTGTGTGTGTGTGTGTGCGTGTGCAACTCTGCATTTTTCCATATGATAAAACAGACATCAGAAAAACACTTGCCCAGAAGCTGGCATAAACAATATTTGGAGTGCAATGTTAGAGGAATTGTCAAGAGGTAACAAAAGTTGCAGCAGGGTTGCTGTGACATTCCCCGATATTATCTGGACCAGTGAGCTGCTAGGTCAGTCCAATCCTTGACTCTGGGAGCCAGCCTTACCCTGCTCTGCTGTGAGAACCCCCACTCCCGGGCTGTTCACACACAGCCTCTAGCATGTAAGCTGCTCCCAGCTATGCGAGTGAGCTCTTTTGGCCAGCTGCTGCTTGGATTGTGCAAGCGAATGACACTAGCCAATATCTCCTGTCCCAGACAACCCTAGGAACCTCCGTCTTGTAGTGTCCAGTTATGCCCGTTGGACGCTGCAAGCTTATATGAGTTCATCAATTTAACAAAGAAATTGATATGTACCAGGCTTGTTATCCCAAGGGGAGTCTCTGACACGCTTCAAACCAAATACACTGCTTCTGGTAGAATAAACAAACAGATTTATTAACTACAAAAGATTGACTTATAATCACTTAAAATCTAAGCACAAGTCGGATTTGGTCAAATGAAATAAAAGCAAAACGCATTCTAAGCTGATCTTAACACTTTCAGTGCCCTTACAAAAACTTAGATGCTTCTCACCACAGGATGGCTGGTTGCCCTTCAGCCAGGCTCTCCCCTTTCATCAGCACTTCAGGTGCTTGGCTGCGGTGTCTGTAGATGGAGGTGGAAGAGAGAGAGTGTGGCGAACATCTCTCCCTTTTATCATGTTCTTTCTTCCCCTTTGGCTTTCCTCCCCCCCCCCCCTCAGAGTCAGGTGAGCATTACCTCATCATAGTCCCAAACTGACCAAGGGAGGGGGGTGACTCACTTGAGAGTCCAACAGATCCTTTGTTGTTGCCTAGGCCAGTGTCCTTTGTTCCTGTGAGGCTGGGCTGGGTTTGTCCCATACATGCCCTGATGAGGTGTGAACTGCCCTTCTGCTCCTGGAGAATTTTGCTTGGGCCTCTGCTCCTGGAGAGTTTTTGCCTGGGCTTGTTTTAAGCCATGAGGACACATTTTCAGCCTCATAACTATATACATGAAATTACAACCTATAACATTACTATAACAACAATGCTCAGCGCATCACAAGCCTTCCGAAGACACCTAACATGACAAACTTTGCATTGGATACCACACAATCATATTATAAGGATGAACATGGGGGTTCAGAGTGTTCCCCCAAGGTACAGAGCGTCACAGTTGCCATCATAGATTAATAGCATTCTATGGAGAGAAAAGTGGCTGAATCACAACTACACTCTGACCCACACATATTAAAAGAAACTCAAGACAAGGAGCAAGATAAAAATGCTGGTTACAGAGCAATAATAAGGGTTCACTGGCTGTATTCCTGGTCCCAATGTTCTGAGAATTGTAGCTCCTTCTATGAACTGTGGAAGATCTACCTTTCTTTCCAGGACAATTGTAATGTGGTAGGATTAGCTCAGTGAGTTTTCTGTCCAGTAAGGGGTATCAAGGAATAAAGGTGGGTTGGTCCCACCTGGTTTCAAGCTCCTCTGAAGTGTGAGAATGAAGAGGTGTCATTTTCTAAAAATACAGATAGTAAGCCCAGTAAAATACATTGACCAGCATGAAAAACAAAGGAAAAAGTAACTTTGAGTAATGGTCAACATTGCTGGGATTCTGAATTGTGAAATAGCTGATGATCCTGTGCATTTTGTTTCTCAACACAAACCTAATTTTGTCATGGGTTTTCATGGTCAGGTCACGATAGTCGACGTTATCGCTGGAAATCTCAGTGCTGGCTAAACTTATTTTCTGCTTATAACTGGTGATGGAGCTATTGAGGATGTTCGTGATGTTGACATCTTCAGTTTCTTTGGTAGGCCCCTAGGAAATGATAGAGCGCAATTAATGTTAGGTGATGTGATTTGGATACACATGTAATGCACTGGCTAAGTGTGTCATATCCTCCTCTATTGGCTGCTTTGTACAGAAGATAAGAGACTACACACAGCTCTCAACTAAGGGATTTACTCCTTTAGCTTAAGTGGTAGAGCCCTATGCTTTAGACCTGAAGGGTCTATCATGGTTGATGACCCGTAATGCTAGGGTTGTTACATGCAAAATTTAAACATTCAATAAGTGCCATCTTATGGATCACAGCAGCATTTCCTGAAGAATGGAGGTATTCCTTGGAGGTCTCTATTCCAGCCACTGAACCAGCCCAATCCTCATAACTTATAAAATCAGCTGGGTGCACAGCGTAAGGCTGCATGTCAATAGGAAAGAAAAGCCCCTGCAGGCTTCATGTTGCAACATGCAGTTCTCCCCATGGTCAGGGTGGTCTTCCCCACTGCGGTAATGCTTTGGCTTGGCACAGTTACTCACCACATTTTGCCAGCAAGAAAGGTTCTTCCGGCTATTAACATGCATCTAGACAATGAGTGAACACAGTCAGATTTGTTAGGATTCTGGAGCTAGTAGCACTCAAGTGATGCCAAACACTAGCATCATGGCTATGGGCCAGTGTTGCGTGAGACTGTGGGAGTTGTATATACCATTGCTTAATGGGTACAGGAACAAGAGAGAGACACTCATGTACCTCTTATTCGTCCCCCAACAGGAAGACTATTTCTCTAGTTCACTCTTCATTGGATATGCCATTAACAAGGACCAACTACGTCTGACTCAATATCACCTTGCTCATTAAGGCACCTCCGTATGTACCTTTTGAGGCTCTTTAGCTGCATGTTTTTGTGATGAGCTGTAGTGAGCAATTGCATATTCCAGCAGGGCACCAAAAATGAAACTGAAGCAGATGCCAAGATAAACGTCAATGGCCTTTATGAAGCAGTTGGTTTTAGATAGTGAGGTCCGGGAGCCAATCATCAGAGTTGTCATCGACAGCACAGTTGTTACTCCTGTAAGGCGGAGAAGGACATATTTTCAGGTCCAATGGGAAAGCATTTCACCCGCACTTCAGGAAACAAAAAGCCTGGTTCTCTTACCCATTGGATAGTCCTTTACACCAAGGCCTAGTGGGTATAACACTACCAAATCCAAATCCTCCATTGACTTACAATGGTAAGCACTTCATACCACTTTGTACAAATGGAGGAAGCAGAGAATTCAGCTTCTCCACCCAGGGAATCCAGTGGGAAGAGAAGTTCCTGCCCCATGGATACTGAAGTGCATCAGTGTAAAAGGCCAGCCCCTCTGTGCTGCTCTTCTTCCCACCCCTAGGCTGTTTTCTTACCCTCAGCGAATGCAAAAAGTCCCTCTCTGGGGGAGGTGCAGAACCTAAGTGATGTCACTGCCTGCAATATTAACCCAGATGGAGATACCCTGGTAGAAGGAGGGGAGCCTGAAATGGACAGCAGGCGCGCCTCAGGTCCTGGATCGCATTGAAGCCCTGGCCATGAAGGGCTCTGGTGGGGGCAGTGTTCCAACTAGAATGTACTCCTCCACCCTCCATGCTCCTAATCTGGCTCTTCTTCACATGCCAAAGATGAAGTGCAACCAGGCCTTTTGTATTTGTCATTCTCCATTTCCATGCTCATCTGAGAAAAGCTGGCATTTGACTGTACTGCACACTGCACTCTGCCCACTCACTTGCACATGCCTCAAGTATCCTTCCCCCGGCAGCAGCTCACTGTAGCAATGTGGGACTCACCCCTGCGGCGCCTCCGGCTGGTCATCTCTGGGAATTAGCTCATCCAGCCTCTGGAGCGCCCTCTGCAGGCTGGTGTCCACTGCCGCTTGGCCTCCGTGTCCCTCCCGGACCCAGTGACCCATTATCTGGGGTGCTGCCCCTTGGCAGTAACCTCTTTCTCTCAGGGTCTCCCCTCCCCAGAGAACCCCCACCCACTATCCCCACCTCACCTCAGTATAAGGCTACTGCCAGTCATCATCTAGCCCCCATGCCCTGGGGCAGACTGCAGTATCAGCCTACTCATCACCAGCAAGGTTGGGTTTGGACCTGCTGCCTTTGCCTACCCCTGGGCTGTCCTCTGCAACCCCCAGTATCCATTGGCCTTATGCTAGGCCGCAGCCTGGGGCTTTCCAGGCTGGAGCTCCCCAGCTCCTCTGCCTTTCCCCAGCCCTGCTCCCCTCAGGTACTCTGCTCAGGTCCCTGCAGCCAGGTCCCTCCCTCTCAGAAGCTAGAGGGAGTCTGCTGAGCTCCTGGCTCCCAGCCTTTTATATAGGGCCAGCTGAGGCCTGATTGGGGCGTGGCCCAGCTGCGGGTGCTTCCCCAATCAGCCTCGTAGCTGCCTTCTCCTGCAACAGCCCTCTCCCAGGGCTGTTTTAAACCCTTCAGGGCAGGAGCGGGTGACCATCCCGCTACACTCACCAATGCAGGTTCTTGCAGGAACCGAATCCAGGGTGATCCAAAAAGAAACCCAGGACAAGATAACGAGCAGCGTGGAAGGAACATAGGTCTCCAAAATGAAGTACAGGATATTTCTTCGCAGCTCAAAGTGCAGTATCAGTCTCGGGTAGTTGCCTGTTAGGCAAAGCAAGGACACATGCCACAAAAGCAAGGTTTCCAGAGAGAGTTTGATTAGGATTCAAGCATATCATAGGCCAGCTCCTCCGCTGATGTGAACCAGCACAGCTCCATTGAAGTCACTGGAGTGACATCAAGTTACATCAGTAGAGAGACTGACCCATCTTGTCTTTTTATTCATTTCATATTTCCTAAACAAACCAATGTACAACGTAAGTTAATTAACAATGTATGGTAAGCAAGAGATATTTAAAACAAATAGGCAGCTCACTAAGGACTCCCCATCTTATTATTTACAGGCAATATTCCACACTATTACTCTAACAAAGCCTGGAGACAGGTTGATGACTTCATTTCATCTCTAACAAGCAGCACAGAGTATTTTTCCCAAGGAAGCATTTTAAAAGGACTTAAAATTCTGATCCAGTACCCGCTGAAGTAAATGGGAGTCTTTCCATTGAACCAAGTGGGCTATGGATCAGGCCCAGAAATAGCACCCCACTCTGTTAACATTACAGAAATTTTAAAATCTAATTTATTTATTGCTATTCATGCTGCTTAGTGACTGCTTGCATCTCTCTCCACTTAGACAAGGAAATCAGCCTAACCCACTTCACTTCAGCCTCAAGTCAATTTCTCCATCAGTCTGTCATGAAGCTAGCACAGGGCTGTAGTGTTTGAGTTGCAAATGCTGTGTGGTGATGGTTATTTGGTGCTTTAGAACCTTTTCCATCGGCATGGAAAAAACACAATGGAAGGAAACATTTCTGTTAACCTTGTGCTTTGTAAAAGCTTCTTTCTCACACAATCTGTATTTCAGGCCAAATCTGACCAGACAATGTCTCCAAGAGTGAACATAAGCTTTGCTTTAGTCCTCTCTATAGGCCAGCTCCTCAGCCAGTGTAAATTGATATAGCAACATGGACTTCAAAGAAGTGACACTGATTTACATCAGCTGAGGATCTGTCCCATAATGTCTTTAAGTCCGGTTAACCTGTTACAATGCTTCCTACATCAATGTGCTCCTCTTAAGTTTTCTACAGCAAACAGCAAGGGTGGTAGCTGGTTGGCCTTGTAGCTTAATAATAGCCCATTGAAACGTGATCTCAGGTTTCTGCTTTGTAGGCTAGTAGGAAGTGGGAATATCACCACAGAATTGAAGTTCTCAACCACGGAAGGCCAACGGGAAAGAGGGAATGCTTTGTGCCATTACAATTGGATGCAACATTGTGTTCTCACTTCAACTCTCTGCTTTGTACCATAGAACTGCTGTAGCATGTCTGTAATGATTTGGTTAAATACAATATATGATATAGCCACTAATGGTCTCTGTGTGCTGTATAGAGTTCCAGACGGGACATGATCTCTAGTAAACAAGGGATTCCAAAACTGGAATGAAGTTGTATGGAAGCTCATCTATTTGCCTGTAGCTGTTTTCTTAAATAAACACCTCTTGTCAGGGCTGTCCTTAGGATTTATGGGACCCTCTGCATTATTATTATTAAATTGGTGCCCCTATGCCCGATGGCAGCCCGGGCTCACAGCCCGGGGGGAGGGGGGAGGAGGGACGAGGAAGCAAAGGATACCGAGCCACCCGGCGCACCTCACGGTGGCGGAGAGTCATAGTTCCCTGCAGAGAGCCCTGTACCCTCTTCCTCATGCAGAATGCACTGCGCTGGCGCATTCGACTCTCTGAATATGGCCTCTGCCTAAGGACACTGCACCACACGCTGGGAGTGCGGGAGCCGACCCGCTCTTACCTGCTGTCATGGGCAGTGGGTGAAGCTGCCGCTTGAGGAGGCTAGCTCCCCAGCCCACCTCTTCTGCCTGTGGCCCTACCCATACTCCACTCCTGCTCTGTCCCAGGCCCCACCCCACTCTGCCCAGACCCCGCCCTCTCCCCACTCCTCCTTTCTTCCTTCCCCGCTCACCCCCTTCCGGCCAAATCTCTGAAGCAAATGCCATTTGAAAAAAACACTTGTCTGCAATTTCTTTCTAAAGAAAATGGAGCATGTTTTCCACAGCATGCCAGATGGTGAAGACTGGACATGCAGAAGATACCTAATTAAAAGCACTAAACTTGGGAATAAAAAATGTCAGTCACAGGTTTTTTGATATACCCTGAAGTTTGTCAGAGATTTATTTGTAAAAACTTTGTAGTAAGGGCAAGTAAGCTGTCTTGATGAATACAACATTAAATATTATGGAAAACATGATGCAGCTCTTCTGTTTTACATTTTCTTAATCAGTATTTCTAAGATGATTTTATATTTTAAATGTACTCTTAAGCCTTCATAAAGTAATCATTCCAGATCACTACATATTTAACTCACTGAAACAAAGACATTCTTTTAAATTAATCAGTCACAGAGGTTTAGTGTGTTCATAACAATGTTCATTGCTTTTAGAAAAAGGGAACATTAATTTACTTTGTGTGATGTCCATAACAATAGACATGTTTATGAAATTTCACCAACTTTAAAAAATATGTTTCCAAAGATTTTAGGCATAACAAAGGATTTTATATCTTACTAAGGTACTGATTTTGCTGGAGGTTTCTCTTAAAACTAGTTCATCAAATAGTCAGAAGTAAAGAAAAGGAAACTCATTTGTCCAGCTATCTGGAAGGAAGGGGTGTTGTCCCATTAAGGGCTCTCTTCAACAGGGGGGTGAAGGGAGAAAGGGATGGACAGGAAGACTTTGGAAGCAAGTTTTTTGTACTATAGTAATTAAAATTAAAATGTGTATTTTAGATAAGGGTGGTCTTTTGAAGGATTTATTTAAAAAACTATACGTCTGAAGGTCCAAGCATATAAGGCAGGGATCGGCAACCTTTGGCACATGACCCGTCAGGGAAATCTGCTGGCAGGCTGGGCCGGTTTGTTTACCTGCAGCGTCCGCAGGTTCCGCCGATCGCAGCTCCCACTGGCCGCGGTTCGCTGTTCCAGGCCAATGGGGGCTGTGGAAAGCGGCCTGGGCCGAGGGATGTGCTGGCTGCCGCTTCCCGCAGCCCCCATTAGCCTGGAATGGCGAACCGCGGCCAGTGGGAGCTGCGATCGGCCAAACCTGCGGACGCTGCAGGTAAACAAACCGGCCCGGCCCGCCAGTGGATTTCCCTGACGGGCTGCGTGACAAAGGTTGCCGATCCCTATTTTAAGGCTAAAGATGAATACTCAGATTGTGCATCTAAAAATCTTTGCAAGGATGTTTTAGAGATGTGATTTTATAATCTTCAGCAACACACTAATGAAATATTTTTAAAGCAAATTTTAAACTAAGGTCCTGAAGACTAACATGTTCTGAGTAAATATTATAGTAATGCACAACTTTTTTTCTCAGTAAATTCAGAAACTGACAGTATATACTTGGGGAGTGACAAATGCCTGTTAAATGGCTCTTTAACAGTTTCAATGTTGTGCTAATAGATCTGGCAGGCTGGAAGGCTTTTTCACATTTAAGTTACTAGATCCCCTCCAGAGGAAGACTCACTAGGCTGCAGCAGGCAACTGTGGTGGGAGCCTGCAGGAAGGGTCAGAACAGGGATAGAAAGGGATAGGAAGAGGTGGAAGCCAGGGGTGCCCTAAATTTTCTGGTGCCCTACGCAGCCGTGTATGCTGCCTATGCTTAAGGACAGCCCGTATCTTGACAAGGCCAGGATGTCCTGGATGTTTAAAACCTTTGATCCTTCGCTGGTAGGCCCCCACCCCAGGTCCTGGTTCATTTTGAAAATCTGGTCACCCTGAGGAAGGTTGCTAATGTAAGGGGACTGTTGCCCCCTTACTAACATTCAGTGGGGGTGTTTTGGTTGGCTAGCTCCCAGCACTAAAAGGGGAAGGGTCGATAGCAAATCAGGAGCCTGAGAATGACAGTCCCCAGGAACAATGGGGAGAGGCCAATGCTCCACATCAGCCTGATTGACAGGGCGGGCAGGCTAATCAGAGAATCAGGAGGCCAGGGGGGTCCCGTCCTCCGTGTGAGCTGGAATTGCCTGGGTCAGACAGAGTGGGGCCGAGCTAAGGAGAGAGCAGGGGCCCGAGCTAAGTTGCTGGGAGCAGAGCTGCAGCCCCAAAGCCAGAGCACAGCCCAGAGAGAGCAGACCTGCCCTGGGAGGAGAGCTGCAGCCACCAGAGCCAGAGGGGCCAGACAAGCAGCCAGGAAGCAGGTCAGAGCTGGGAGCAGAGTCGCAGAAGCAGCCTGCAGAGCCGACCTGTCCTGGGGGCAGAGCTGTAGCAACCAGAGCCAGAGAAGCCAGAGAAGCAGCCCAGGGAGCTGAAGGCAGAGGAGCAGCAGCAGCCGGGCTGAGGCAGAGTGAGCTGGAGCTGGGGCTGGAGCCGTCGGGAGCTGGGTGCGGTGAGCAGCTGGGGAGAGTGAGGGGGACCCTGGGCAGTGGGCCCAGCACAGGGAGACGCCTCAGCCAAGAGGCCTTGCAGGCCAGACTTGGAGGGGGATCGTAACCCCGACGGGGTGGGGGCGACGCTGGGAAGAAGGGTCCTGCCACCAAGAGCCTGAGAGCGTGTGGCCACCGCCAGCGCAAGTGTCCAACCCGCAGCGTCTCTGCAGCACAGCCAGGGCCTGAGAAGGAGGCCTGGGACCTACAAGGAACAGACTGTGACCTGCCCTGACGTTCCAGAGACACTGCTTGTGATGTTCCCTGCCACAGAGCAGGGTGATGTGTTTTCCTTTAACCTTTCCCATTTTTCCTTATTCTTTTTTAAAAGTAATTGTTAATTAAACAACGTGTATTTGCTTTAAATTGTATGAAATGATCAGTGGGTCAGGGAGGTGCCCAGTGCAGAGAGAGTACCCCGGAGTGGGGACACCCTAGCCCCTGTCCTAGGTGACCACAGCAGGGTTGGGGGTCAAGCCCCCCAGGAATCCTGGGCCCAGCCTTGTTGGGGTTTACGAGGACTCTGCCAGACAGGAGAGTGGAAGGCGAGTCCTCAAGGGCAGGGAGGCCTCTGGGTAAAGGAAGTGGGAGCGAGGACTCGGATCCTTTCGCTAGCCCACTTCACCGGTGTAGTGCAGAAGCCAGGAAAGTTCCCCATAATAGCGGGACCATTCCCCCGCTTACACTTCGCTCCTCATATTATCTCTGACACTAGGTAAGGAAGTTTAAACCAGCTGGTAATGAGAAATACATTCCCATTGCATCAAGACAGAAGTGACCTTTGGAAACAAATATTCAACAAGTTAGTTTTGATTCCAGTTACTTTAAGTGTTTCCTGGAATGCTTAATGCAATATTTATAGTTTGTAGATGCAGAAAGCACAATCTAGGTTTTTCTGACGTAATAAAAATGTCAAGTGGATTTCAGGCACGTGTGAAATCCATATTTTCCATGACTTGAATGGGAATAATGATACTTACCTCCCTTTGTAAAGTACCTTGAAATCTACTATTGAAAAGTATAATACAAGAGCTAGGTATTATTATTATTATTTAACACCTAAGGAACATATCACCTATTCCTATAGAAGCAATTTTACTGCCTTGTTTCCAGTGGGACTAGGAACTGCTATTGATCTCACTACCCATGTCCTCTTGGCTTGAAAGACATCACTGCATAGAATGGAAAGAGAAAAATTATACATGCTTGCGAGATACACATGCTCTTCCACCAGTCCCACCTCCCTGCTTTACCTGTTTCCTGCTGGGATCTCGTGACCAGAGTGTAATAACGTTCCACAGTGTACTGAGAGAGACGTAGTTTTTCCAGGCCATGAACTGAATCGTTTCCCCTAAACCAAGTGAACACTATGTCGTTTCCATCATATCCCCCTACAGACAACATAAAGCACCACATTACTGTAATGAACCAACTAGTCCATGTGTCGCATACTGCCCTCTACTGGATAGAATCAGAAATAATCAGCTATGGAGCCACAAGCAACGAGATTACTAGGTGGCTACAGGTTTTGTTTTATAGGTATAATTTCTTTACAATGTTGGTGAAAGTGGTTGTTCTTATATTAGCCATATTTTTATTCTGATGGATCAAACTGAAATTGAAATTAGGCTGTATGGGCTTTATTCTTCAGTGCCTGGTGCAGTCAGTTACCCCTGCTCATGTGGGTGTAAGTCTCTGCCAGTGTTGTAAATGAGTGGCGAATTCTGATCTGGTAGCGTTTTGCACCCACATTGCCCAGAGGCAAATAACAACATGCAAGGCAGTGGAGAGTCAGCTCCTATTTCATATCATCTGCTTACAGCATTTTATTTTATTTTTTAAATATTCTAACATTTTTTTAAAGGTGGAAATCCCACTCCGCTCTAATTTAATTGCAAATGGTAATCTTGGTCAATAACAATCCCCGTGCATAATTACGTCAGCCATATGGGTTTATGAAAGAAGTACAAGCCTCATCCCCCAACCCTTCGCCCTGTTCTAGAATCAAGTCTGTAAACTGTTATAAATTTTCATGACTGGAAGCAGAAGAGTCAGAAATCTTATGAGTGTGTGTGGTTTTCTTAACCAAATGGCCCACCCATTTATGCACACTTAAAAGATGCTTTGGACAAGCATCTAAACATCTGGGAGCTTATCAACCCTGAACTGGACTATTCAAATATTGTGAGGCTCATTTATCAGAGCCGCCATTGATTTTGAAATAGAACTCCCCACTGAAAACAATGGGCCCAGACCGGATCTTCAGCTGTGTAAGTCAACATAGTTCCACTGGCTTCTGCAAAGCTACCTCAAACTACACCAGCTGAGGATCTGGCTCTGGAAGTTTAAGTGACAGCATAACATGACCGCAAATTAAAGTGAGTGATCTTTTTGATAACCTGACGTTCCTACTCACTCACCGAATAGCTATCCAGCTCAAAAAAGTCATATTAATTTAGTGAACAAGCCCATTAATCTTATTAGTTTGATTCTTTTAATTAAATGTCTGTCTGAAAAATGACTAGTGACACTGGTAGGCCAATAGTCACCAATTCACACCTTGGAGGAAAACTACCACGCTTCCTACAGTATTGTTTATCTAATTGTGTTTTCTATTAGACACAAATTACTGGAGCATGCCTCTGACGTACTCATACATTCTATGCACAGGTTCTGAATCCCTGCGTGCAAACCCTAATCATGTGACTTTGCAAAGTTTCTGGACAGTTTTGTAATAATAGCAATTGCGGTTACTTAGGGAAACTTTATAATAAATGACAGGTTGTTAATTCATCTAGCATATATTTAAATAGCATTAATTCCAGGCATTTATCCTAATGAAATCTCCAGCTGGCAATATGCATGTAATTTCACTGGAATTAGACAGCAACTGAGCATGACGTAAGACCCAATTACTTTAAAAGAAAAAAAGTCTGAAGCCAGCTACACTTTAAAAGAAGAGGCCAATCATTATTATTTCAGGTGCTATTCTTTGTAATAAAGTTAATCATGGTGAACTAATAGGATTTTAATGTGAAAATAATATGCGCTTCCATAGGAGCTCCATTCTAGAAGCTGGCAAGTCAAACCTGGTTTTTAAATAATGAGATTTCAGGCATTTATTTTTTGTGGCTTGAAACGGGAGATTGGCTGCTGCTTTACTCCGGGGATTTTCAAGGATGGAACTAAGAAAAGCTCCATCTTTACTGATGAACTTCTGTGTGACGGGGAGAGTGCCTCGCTTCACCTGCAGCACTGGGAAGCGACCTTCCTGCACAGCTGAATTTAAGAAACAGGCAGGGAGGAAGGAGGAGATGAGTTCTCTGGGTGCTCAGTTTGAGGCAGGGAATTGGGAGCCCTGTGTGGGTGCCCCAGCTTAAGAATGCCTGAAAACGGAGCTTCCATTAGAGGCTAGGTGGGAGCTCCCTTCCCTTTTGTCCCAGCAGGAGGTGAAGAATTTCTTTCTTTTCATTGAGATTTTGAGTGCGCTGCATCTGAGCAGACTCTTTCCCCAGGGAACAGCAGTGTCTTGACATGCAGTCTGCTGAGAAGGAAGCCTGCCTACAGACGGGTGTAATGGTGGGGGAGTCAGCTGACCTCTGCTCAGCATCCGGGAGCAGAGATCTCCTCTCCTGAAAGACACGGTGTATTGGTGCCAGTCCCATGGTTCTCTGTCTCTGGCGACTACTATTGGGTTATCTATGCAGTCTGTTGTCAATAAATGGCCAGCATTGCAATATCCAGGCCTTCGAGTTTAAGTAACCAAGAGCATTTTGCTTACTGACTATCACTGCTCCTGCAAGTGCCCTGCAGCCAAGAGTCCCAGAGAGCACCACTGTGGGGTTCTGTGCACAGAGGGCTTGCAGGAGCGGGTTCCCATGCTCGCCAACATTTATGTTACTGTAACAAAGGGCGCAGCTGGGAAAGCTTTCATTGTGCCTTCCTGTGCTAGGACCGGCTCTAGCTTCAGCTCACCAATTTCACAAGCAATACACATTTCCTGAATTCAGATCTTCCCCCTGGTAAAAAAACTCCCTCTGCTTTGAAAATAACTTATGGTAAGTGATTTAGCACAGGTGAAAGATGCTGGACTGAGGACCCTAGAGACTAACATGCACTGCTTATTCCTAGGGAATCAGTGAAAGCAACAGTTCAAACCATACCATCAAAGGCGCTGGTTAATTGCAGATTTGGTACTTTTTTTTGTATAATGTGGACATGTGTCCATTAGCACCCAGAGTGAGATTATTACCAGCTCATTGCATTTGCTTGTTTTATCAATAACTGACAGACCTATTCAGAGGGGAAGCCACCAGCCCAGCAATGAAATTGCTGTAGAGCCAAATTCTGTTTTAGCCACAATCCAGGCAATTCCACTTAGTCTCTAATTTTCACGAGTGGGCATGTCTGACTTATGCAAGATTACAGTCCAATGCATGTGTTCGAGACAGAGATTTCTGCATACACAAACATGAACTGCATGTGTGAATGGGGTGCAATATGGATGATAACTGAGGGCACTCTTTTGAAAATTTGGGTCCTATTATCCACCTATTGTACCAAAGGCTAGCCCTAATGAAAGAGTGTGCTCAAAAGGAGGTGATTTTAGAGAAAGACAGTATCATTTATGTCTATGTGAAAGACTGAAATACCTGCTGACTGTTTGGGGGAAGGTAGTGTTTATTACCATTGTGACTTCTATAAAGTGTGCATGGGGACCATGAGGACAGGAACCTTATAAACCCTGGAATAACAATAATTTATATTTGAAGAATTAAGTTGAACTGTTTTCTTCTTGAAAAGTTTCTGTATTTGCAGAAATAAAGGCACATTTTCAGAGGCTGTTCTGGCTGAAACCAAATATTTGAATGGACACCTACATACGAATAAACAGATTCAAAATAGGCCAGGCAAATATTCTCAGGCATCTGTAAAATGCTATACTTACAGCTTTCCAGCTGCAGTTTACACATCTGTGTGTCCATGGGATATTTTGACAGGTCCATGTTACATGCAACAGTAGTAGTGATTCTACATGGGGAGAAAAAGTTCAGAAGCTGTGCAATAAAAACATATCACAGGATGTCTTTATTTTTCATAGCAAACTACAGACTCCAAAGATTCTGATCAGGCTTTTGGATAGTTCTGACTTTTGAAATCAATGCACTAATAACACCAGAGAAGTTGCATCCTAAGGTATAAATTCTGAGCTTAGTTATACCAGTGTAGTCTAAGTCAGCAGAGATAGAGTGACTCAGGATTAACACTGGTGTAAGAGAGAGCACAGTTTTGCCCTATGAGCATGGGAAATTAATGGGGAAATGACACAAGTGGCTTTAACTGAATATTCATGTGATACCTACAGATCACCACTGGCTGGTATTGGTTAAGCAAGCAGCAAGCCAAGACTTCCAGTTTTCTGCTAAAGTTTATTCATTTTGTTACCTCCGCCCCTCATATTCTTCAAGCCCATTCTGTTTTATCCATCTGCCATCTTTTGTCTGTCACTGAAATTGTAAGGTCCCTGGCCAGGGACTGTCTTCTGTGTTACTGCTCTGTACAGCACCTACCACAAGGAGGATATGGGGGGTGTGTGTGGAAGGGGATGGTGATCCTTGACTGGAGTTCCTAGGGACTAATACAATAGAAATAATACAAGATAACAACTGCACTGACTAGGAGGAATGTGCAACTGCAGTGAAGGAGCAATTAAATTACGCTGAGATCCAGAAAATAATGTCAAAACCAGGGGCCTGTTGACTCCAAAGCTCTTGTTAACCATGATGGCCACACCAGCCTACGTACATTCTGATCCGGTGTGGTTTTAATAATTTGCTCTTCACCACCAGTACGTGACTTACCTTAATGCATACAAGACAGTGCCATTGGAGAATAATCTTATAAGACGATTCCCCACGGTAACGTCATGCAGGAAAGACCGTTTAGACTCCACAATATATGTGTCTGGCACCCATAGCAATTCCACTAGACGAGCATCCAAAGTGAAGCTCTTGTTGCCATGAAAAACCAGGCGGGGGTCCGTCCAGCGCTGCCGCAGATATATTGTAGCAGTGTAGTCCTGAAGGAGAAAGGCAGGTGTGAGAAGACACGCAGCAAGAATGTTTATGAGGCATTGGTGTCCACCTCCTATGTCCAAAACGTATTAAGGAGGCTGAGGCATAGTCTTCACAAACTCTGTGTGTGTGTGTGTGGGTGTGTGTTTCACCCTCCTTTGCTACAATATCCAGACCTCTGGCTGTCTTTCCTAAAGGATACAGCCATAGCATTAAATGTAGGGCATGTAACACACCAAAACTCAGCTTAAAACACACAGGACAAAGCTGGTAGACTTGAATTCTGAACTTAGTTCCTCTGTTTGCTTGAGGTTTTTCATGTATTCATACCCAATAAACAATCATATTCATAATACGTAGTCTTATACTGTGCTTTTCACTCCTAAACCTTAAAGCCCTTTACATAAGTAAGTATTAAGGTGGGTAAGGATCATAATCTCCAACTGAGAAAACAGAGAAGCAGAGAGGTTGACTGGCTTACTCAAGCCCCTACATCAATTACATATGAAATAGCTTCCAGTATGGGAAAAATATATACGTAACCTACACACGAATGCAGTATATATAGCCACATATAGGGAGAGCAGGTATTCAAATACAGCTGCATTGGCCTTTCACCAGAGCTAAAAGTCCAAGAGCAAACACTTACCTGCATTTCACCTATTCACCCCATTGAAAGTTCGTTTGTTTAAGCCATGGAAGGCAATTGTATAAGGGAAGGAAAGACTATGCATAGTAGATGATGAGAAGAATAACACAGTTTGGAGTAATGGAGATAAGCAGGACCACGAGTGAGTCATGCCACTGATCCTGTACAATATTTGTTCCCTTCATTCACTATTGGGAGCTATATTTAGATCACTCAGACGGGGTGGGTGGGTTGTGCTTAGAGGAGAGGTATTTTGGGGGTGATATGTTGAAGAAATGTAAGAAAATAACATGCTATTTAAGCCAAATAAAGTAGGAAGTGCAGTCAAAGCTTGTAGTGTTACTCTTCTGTCAGGTCGGTACTAAACTGAGCCCAGGCCAGGGACTAGGGATGCTATGGGACTGAAGTTTTAGGTAGGAGAGTCAAAAAACAAGATCTTGACCAACTGTTGTCATTGAACGTTTTGCAAGAGTAGGAGTGTTAATTCTAGTGTCCTGGTCAAATTCCAACTTGGTTGCAATATCCAGCCTGCCTAAAATCCCCCCAGCAGTTACAAGTGGATGAAGTATTTTTATAGTGCCCCCGTGATAAAGGGAAAAACAGGGCTCAGTTGTAATGGATACAAAGACAGTTCTTTACTGAGCCTCCTGGGTACATAACCGGATCTTGTGGCAATCCTTGGCTCTCTAGTTTGCAGATGAACTAAATGCAGCTTTCATGATTGTGTAGTGTTGTTGTGCATTGTTATACAGCTACCATGTTCCTGCCCAGACATGTCTGCATTTCAGTGGCAGATAAATCGATTCCCTTATGTTCAATAGATGGTTTGTAAAATCCTTCGGTATGAAAGGTGCTAAATAAATTATGTTATCCTCACTCTTCAGATTTGATTCTCAGACTGTTGTGTGTGTGTGTGTGGGAGGTGGGGCAGTAAGTTCTACTCTACGACTTAAGTGATTGAAATGATGCACTGTTAAGAGTTTCAGTATAGTGAATTATTAATACTGGTGATGAAGGGGAAAACCTCTGGGTCATTTCAATTATTTATCTAGCCATAGAGTATGTCTCTATAATGTTCTCCTTGACACAAGGGGAATTTAGGTGGGATGTGGAGGAAATATATGCTGTAGAAAGGGGTAGTTTTACAAGGGGTGGGAGACTAGACTCATGAAAATACCCTCTATTTGGTGAAGGTTTCCCTTTATATTTCCCCTTGGGGCGATGGCCCTTCTAGCCCTCTGAACATTAGGCCTTCTCCTCAGCTTTAATCCGCTTTACTCCTCCACAATCTGAAGGCTAAAGAGGAGGACTGGAGGTGGCTTCTGGAGCAACGCCCAGTGTCATGCCTAAGCCTGCAAGAGGAGACTCTGCAGGAAAACAGAAGGGGGGATGAAATGCTACAACAGCTGCAACCCACGGCTAAGATCTTCGATTGTGAATAATAACTTTGTGTGCCACCATTTTTGGTGCCCAGCTTCAGACCCCTCAAAAGGGACCGGCATTCAGGACATGCTGAGCTCCTGCCTTTTGACAGTCAGCCCCCTGTCTCTGTCTCTAACTCAGTCCTTATATCCCCTCGGCTGTAGCACCCGAGTGCTTGTGAATGGGGAATTGTGAATGGATTTGATCCTCACAGCAGCCCTGTGAGTGAGGAAAGTGCTATTATCCCCATTTTGCAGAAGAGCAGCTGAGCACAGGGAGACCACGGCCAAGATTGTCAAAGGTTTTTAGGCACCCAATTCCCATTGAAAGGGAGTTAGATGCCTAAATACCTTTGAGGACTTGCTCCCAAATGACTATCTGGTCCCAAGGTCATAGGATGTCTGTGGCTTAGCTGGGAATTGCCACACTGGGCTCCTAAGAACAGAGGCACCCAAACCATCAGTCACTCTTGGTCTCCAACTCTGGTGTCTCAAACTTGGATCCCCTCTAGAGCAGCAGAGCCAAACCGGCCCCTTTCTCCTCAGTATGTAATCGAGACTGAGTCACTTACCATGTCACTCTCAGATATACTTGAAATACTTGCAACGTCCAGGCTCAATGCTATTTGAACAGGTTTCCCTGGGGAGGGATAGAGAGGCTTAGATTAGAGTGAAGAAAGGGTGAAGGTAACGCTATGTTGTTGTGTACTAAACAAAAGAAATGGACACTTAGAATTCAGTATGGAATTCAGTTCACTGCACTCAATCGAGCAGCACACATAGGTAGTCTTGCAAGAATTAGATTTTTTTTTATAATTTTGATGCATAATATCAATGTTTATTTTAAAGCTTTTTAAAGATTTTTATCTAGCTATTTAAATTTTTACAGTTGTGGGAAACTACAGGGAGGTCAGACAATTATTTAATGACAGTAGACAGATTAAAAAAGTTAAAGCTTTGTAACCATTAAACCAAATTGTCAACATCAAATATCAAAATATACAAAGTAAATAGCCTTAAAATCAAACTCTAATAAGTTCTCAAGCAGCATTGGTCTTACTTTGCCTAACTGTCTATTTTGATTATTACTGATGGAAATACTTTTTCATCGGTTTGCACACGTATGATGCAATCAACATTTACCTATAAAAGTCTAATCCTTCCAAGCCTACATATAGGGGTGTCCCTATTGCTGCCAGCGACCAAAGAACTAGACTAAATTTCAGAGAGTTAAACATGAGCAGACTGTTTGGGTTGTGAAATCTCATGCTCAAAAACTTTTCACTTGTGCTGCCACTTTCTTTGGTGGCATCAGCGGACAGAAATGATCACGTGCAGCACTAGTGGCCATACACCCAGGCAATCCAGGTAGGCAATATTTCCATTGCAATCAGCCACAGAAATCAAGGGCTACACACGGCTCAGCATATGTAACGATAACAATCTTGAGTTGTTATATAACACTTTCCATGGCTCGATCTCAGAGTGCTCTAGAGGTGGGTAAGAATTATTATCCTCATTTCTCAGATGAGAAAACTGAGTCCTGGAGCAATTAAGCGACTTGCCCAGTGAGTCAGAACCAAAAGCAGGAATAGGACTGAGCCCCCCGATCCCTAGTCATGTCCTGTCCACTGAACCACACAGCCTTTTCCTGATGCAAAGCAGGGCAGAGTCCCCAGTCTCACTCTCCCTCTACAGTCCTGCAGCCTGTCCCTGAGTTTGGGAGGGTGAGATTTTGTTCCCTACAATCCTGGTTATTCAGGGATTTATAAGTGATTGAGGTGTCGCCCTTTGTGAGTCTAATCAACTTCCATGGCCTTTCATGTGAGCAGCACCACTCACTGAAAGTGATCACTGGGCTCAAATCAAAGCTATCTCAGGTACATCTCCATGTGCTGCAATTACACCTCCCAACTGCAGTGTACACACACGCTCATAGTGGAGACCTGATCTAGGGACCCTCCCAACTGTCTGTGCACAGAGTCTGACCTCCCCCGTCCCAGAGTGCTGAGCCCGGCACCGCGAGAACCTGCCAAACGGGATCTAAGGAAATCTTTTACAGTGAGTGAGCATTGTGCCCCAGTGAACCATTGTTTGGCAGCAGACAGCGTATTAGGTTTGTTTTAATGTGGCCACCTCCGTCCTGCCTTGTAATTGGAGCTGAACAAAGGACAGAGTGCTGTAAGGTGCACTGGAAGTATATGGGAAGAGAGATTTGCTTTATGGAGAAAAGATACATGTTCTCCTTTGCACACCCAGCTTTGGAAATCTGCTCTCTGTCTCCTGGGATAGGGCCCATTTGACTCTGTTGCTTCACTGAGCACAGAGAACCCAGCTGGCCGGAGCCCATCTGGAGAGGATGGAAGAGGAATTGCCAGCTCTCTGCCATTGTTCCTTATTTGCCTGATCTCATAAAAGCCTCTCAGTAGATGTACTTTAGGAGGGTATGGACCAGGTGCAGAGCCAGATGGAGACTGCTGCTGTCTGTGCCACTGTTCCCCACCTGCCCTCCCTGCCCCCCAGCTTCCTTACCCACAGGAAATTGCTGTAAACAACAATGTTATCTTCATGTGTTGTCCCTTCAGAGGTAGTGCACAGTGAATACCCTGTCTCCCCCCCACAACGGGTGGCTTGGGTGGGACAGCAGCCAGTGGGCGTCACTGCTCTATGGGGAGCATGAATTGTGGGGCATTGGGGTCAGGAAGATTTGTGGGCTTAGGAGGCCAAACCCCTGCCATTTCTGTAGAGATGGAAGAAAACTCAGTCCACTTAGTAGAACAACGAAGTCAGAACTTGTAGGGTTTCCTGTCCCCTGGGCAGGTGTTTCCCAAGTCAGGAAATGGGCCCTACTAGAAATTTAGTTAGCAGATTTCAGTACATATGGGGTGAAATTCTCCTCAGCACACAGGACCCACACAAGGTGACAAAGCAGGCCTCATTCGTGCTTATGGGCCTGGGTGAGCCCTTTGTGGAGTTCACTTCAGCTCCCGTAAAGCGAAACCTTTAAAGAACAGCCATTAGCTAGAAAGGAGGTAGCTTGTCAGTGAGTAAAACACATGACAAAATGGAGGCAAAGTATCCCCTTTCACTGCGTCGATACACACAAAATTTTACATTGACAGAACCACATAGCTTGGTAGTGTGGCTGCCTCTTTCGAGCACTGAAGCTAGGATTCACCACAAGAGGGCAGCTCCATCCTAGGAAATGTCAGAAGACATTAGTGTAAGTCAGTTTATATTTTGCCTCTTTTTATTGTAATAAGGGTGAACATGAGGAAGATCAAATCCCGTCAGCACAGTAGCAAATATATGGCACAGTAACATATTAGAACATTTTCTTCATAACCCACAGATCACAAACATTCATATGCACTGGGCCCAATGCTCCATTCCCATTGGTTTCAGTGGGAGATTTGGGTGCATAAGGAAGGCAGAATCAAGCCCTAGGGCCACAGGGACCTGATCCTGATTGGTGCTGAGCACCCCAAATTCCGCTGAAGTAAACAGGATTTGCAGGTGGTCACCACATTTCAGGAACAGGCCATATATATCTATGTAGTCAACACGTGTACTTTTTTCGCCTATATGACTTGCTCAATCCTATATATCTTGCCAGTTAGAATTGAAGCCACCCACTTTCTAAAAGTCAGTTAGGTTTAACAAGATTTTTTAAATGTATCTAGAATTTGCCTAATAAGATTTCAAGTTGCAAAAAGGACAATTTTCAAAAGTGCCGAAGTGATTTAGGAGCTAGATCCCATTTTCAAAAGTGATAGTTATTTAGGAGCCAGAGTCCTGACAATTTTTACCCAACGTGTTATGAACACATTAAACTTGTGCTGATATTGACTTGCATGCATTTAAACTTCTCTCTTCTATTTTATAACCATCTGTTGTCCTATGGGACAAATTTCAATGAAGAGCTGGTATTATTCCACAATACCAGACGTAGTGGTCATTATTCTATGTAACTCCACTATTGTAGAGATTTATCACCACAGGAGGAAGATAAAGAGAGAGAAGCGAAAAGGTGTAAGACAAAGCCAATGTACACCAGCTACATTACATGGCATAGGGGTCGTAATCAGACTGCATGAGGCTTGGTCATCTGCACTTCACAGAACATCCAGACATGCTCTGTGCACTGAGAAGGCTGTCCCTTCACAAAATTTAAGGCAAAGCCCAGGCATAGGCTGTTTAGAATTTAGTGTATATAGTTCCACAGTGGAAACAAATCCCCAGAGACTGGGACTAAACAGGAAGGAAGTTATAAGTGAGCAATGCTGCAGTTCAAGGAGCCAGGCTTCATTCATTTGCAGCCACAATGACCCTTATAAAATGGATGTCCATTAACAAATACACAGCCACACCAAGGGGACAAACTGAAACAAAGGGGCTGCATGGTTGTAACAGGGCAGAATTTAGCCCAATGTATCTAATTTGACAGGTGTCAAAACTCTCTAAGCTTCCTGTTCTTTATTCCACAGACAAATATGACCGAAGGGAATAAATTCTGCCTTCAGTCATACACATACAGTCCCACTGAGCAAACAGAATTGGATGGGGTAGGTGAGGACGGACTTTGGGCACATAGTCCCAGCCCCAGCTAATTTAACAGGGACAGATAAACTAGTGCTTGTTAAAGAAAACCCACAAAACATTATTCTCTCCATGCAAACATTACTGATTATATAATCATTTTATCAGACACTGAAATGTTCTGTTGACGTACCACCAAAATATGGCCTGAGATATTTGTTGTAGCCCTCTGTGAGGTTCTCAAATCCAGGGAGCGATACCGCGTCACTGCTGTGTGTGTCCGATTTATGGCCCAGCGTGCACTTTCTAAAATACACAAATACATATTGTTAGGCATGGCAGGGCATGCTGGGAGCATCTGCTGTGCAGCTGCAGCTGCGTTCCCTGCATGGAGTGTTTCCCAAACCTGAGACGCCGCTTGTTTAGGAAAAGCCCCTGGCAGGCCGGGCCTGTTTGTTTATCTGCCGCGTCCGCAGGTCCGGCCGATCGCGGCTCCTACTGGCCGCGGTTCGCCACTCCAGGCCAATGGGGGCTGCGGGAAGCGACATGGGACGAGGGATGTGCTGGCAGCCGCTTCCAGCAGCTCCCATTGGCCTGGATCGGCGAACCGCGGCCAGTGGGAGCCGTGATCGGCCAGACCTGCGGACGCGGCAGGTAAACAAACTGGCCCGGCCCGCCGGGGCTTTTCCTAAACAAACGGCATCCCAAGTTTGGGAAACACTGCCTGCATGTATACAGCAGTCCAACAGAAACTGCATAAAACACTTCATCAAAGCCAGCAGCACTTGATTCTGCTGTTTAATTTGTGTGTGGGACAGGGACTGTGGGCAATCAGCATGTGACTTCATTAAACAGACAATCCAAAGTTTGGAGTGTTTTACAGTGGTGTAGGAGGGATATGGTTGGCTGGGGAAGATGCTTATGTGCAGAAACAGTTGGAATGGTGACAGTTGGAATTTGCTTATGACTTCCTTAATGTTTACTTATGTGGGTTCTTGTATTAGTGCCTATCACCATATAGCTCAATGCTTCCCACAATTATTATTTGTATTGCGTGAACAATAATCTGGATTTAGACAAGGGAGATCATGCACAGATGCTATTTTCACCCTGAGACGGATTATTGAGAACACAATTGAATTCCAAGGCAGTCTTGTCATCAATTTTGTGGACTTTCAAAAGGCATTCGATAGTGTAAATAGAGAAACTGTGGAAAATTGTGGAACAATATGGAATTCCAACAAAATTAATTAACAATATGAAGACATTCTACGCCAACTCAAAGTGCTGCATTAAAATGGAAAATGGATTGAGTAAGCCATTCAGCATCAAGACAGGTGTAAGGCAAGGGTGCATCCTGTCTCCTTTTTTGTTTATGCTAGTCATCGACCATGGATTAAAACAATGCGACAGTGATACATATGGCCTAAAATGGAACAATTCAAGGCTATTTGATCTAGACTTTGCTGATGATATCGCTCTTATCAGTGAAGATGCCAATGGACTACAAAAATGCACAAACCAAGTGAAAGAAGTAATGGAGAAGATAGGTTTGAGATACAATGCAAACAAATGTAAAGTCATGTTAATGGGGACTATAGGGACAGAAATCAAAACTGAAGAAGAGAAACTGGAGAAGGTGGACAATTTTACGTATCTTGGAAGTACCATCAAGATGGTACTAGTTCCGAGGAAATAATAATAAGAATTGGGAAGGCAAACGCTGCATTTGGAAGACTCAAAAACATCTGGCAACTCAAAAACATCTCCCTCAAGACAAAACTGAATGTGTACAAAGCAATTGTTATCGCCATCACAATATATAGCAGTGAGACATGGCAACTTACCAAGAAAGATATGCAAAAGCTGGATGCATGTCATCACAACTGTCTGAGAAGAATATTGGGAATAACATATAGAGCTAGGAAGACGAATGAAGAAGTCAGAAAAATTACTGGACAAGGTACCCTCTCACAAATAATCTACAAAAGAAGACATCAGTGGCTGGGACGTGCTGAGAATGGAAAAAGAATGCTTATCAAATACTGCCCTTGAATGGAAGCCAGAAAACACAAGAAGAAAGGGAAAGACCGTGAATAACATGGAAATGAACAGTTCTGAATGACATCAAGCACCTCAACATGAAATCGGAAGATTTGGAGAGAAGGGCAGTTGACAGGCAAGGATGGCAAATGTGGGTAGCCCAATATGCAGCAAAGCATGGGATGGACTAACTAAGGTAAGAGCTAGAAGCTCCAACCATGCCCCGGGATCCCATTGTGCTGTTCACAGAACACAGCGATGGCCACTGCCCCAAAGAGTTTACAATCCAAGTAACAAAAATAACGGTAACAAGCCCCTTTCAGCAGCAGACGGGCTTCTGTCTCCTCCTTTCTTACTCTGAATATGAAAATGCCCCTGTCAGCATGAGCAGAGTACTGTCAGTGATAGTTGCACTTAACTCTGAATGAAGCGAGGTTAGTGGCTGTTCTTCTCTCATCTGAGAGGGAGATCCAGTGTCTTGGTCTTGGGAAGCGTCTTCCAGCCCCAGTTGTCAGCCTCACTGTGCTGGCTGATAGTTTCCTCATTCAAGTGCAATACGGCCTTCAAAATAAGCCATGGCTGGATGGAGAGAGACAATCTCTCCAGTAGCCAGGATTAATCCAGTGCAAGGCTTTGAAAACCAGGTCAGAGACCCTGAACTGAACTGGCCCCTTTAGGAGGCAGTGGGGTCCAGTGCTCCTGAACCGATGACCCGCTGCCCAAGTGGACTTAAGGGAAGGCACCTGAGCCTTATAAAGGGGGAAAGAGTTGCAGGTGGTTGGGAGATGCTGTCAGAGAGTGATAAGGTTCCGGGAAGGCCCTGAATGAGCAGGGGTTGGGAAGGCCAGTGGAGAAGGCCAAGCCTCAGACAAAAGGTGGTGGGAAAGCAGGAAGACAGATGCCCAGGGCAGAGGGGATGTGCCCAGCTTGGCAGTAGGGTGAAAGAAGTAAACTTTAGAGAGAGGACAGATCTTCAGGGAGGATGGCTTGAGCCCAGCTGAAACTGGGGTGAAAGTTATAGGTTTTGAGGTCTATTAAAAAGATGGTGTGATGGCGAATGTTTTAAGTATCTGAACTGTGTGGACTTTTAAGGGACCCCAAACATAAAAGGAAACTGAGGCAGGGTGCTGCAGAGCTACTCTTGGCCAGTAGGGGATGCTGTAGGACTCAGTGGGATACCAATGCAGAGTATGCAGTATTGAAGTAATATTTTCCCAGTGACTTGTGCTGCTAAGCATGGGCCTGTCAGCTTCAGAGAAGAGTGGAGGATCTCAGTGAAATTCTGCAGCTGAATTCATGAGCCTTGGCAAATAAAGCCATGGTCTCTGGCTACATGTGTCTGCACCATGGTAATGATGCTGAGGCACCATTGCTTCTTAAACAGAAGAGGAGCAGTGGTTAGACTAGGCGTCTGAGGTTTTTGGTTCATTTTTAATGCCTCTGGCCATCTTTGGCAGTAGGTAAAGACATGTCAGAACCAACATCACGGGTCTGGTTTCCGGCTCTGGATCCAAACTCGGCTTGGAACTCTGGATCACAGCCTCCCTAGTGTTCAGGGTATTTGGATTTAGATTCTCCTACCAAGTGGATTGGTTGGAAGCTGCATATCCCTGTCCAAACCCAGATCTTGATCCAGGGATTTGGTTGAAGGAAGAAGAGCCAGTCTCTCATTTCTGTGATAAACTGCTGGGAAAAGCCTTTCCATCATACAGTGAGATTCATAGCAGTGACACCCCTTCTACACCTCAATCCTTACCCAACTCCTGACCTGTGAAGGGACTCAGTCCCTCTAGCCTGTCTGCAGCTTCGTCAGATATATGCTGGCCCCAAGGCTGGCTTTACCATGAGGCGAACTGAGGCGGCCGCCTCAGGTGCCAGACTGGGGGGAGGGGAAGGGGCGCCACTAGGACCCAGAGTGTAGAAAATTGTGTCTGTTGCTGGTGCATAAGTATTCTCTCTGCTCTAGATGCACAGAGATGGTGGAGTGCTGTGCTGGCATGCCATGAGAAGGCAGCAAATCACCAGAGAGCATTCCATAAGAGGAAAGAGCTTGAGATGAGACTAAGGTTAAAGGCCACCATAGATGATCAGCATCAAGAGGAGATTGCATCAGAGTCTCTTTACTACTTTGCTACTCAAAACCTAGCACTGCGTGGCACTTCAGATCAGCTGTCTGTGCCAAACAATGGAAACTTCCTTAAAATTGTGGAGCTGATGGCTGAGTTTGATGCTGTACTCCAGGAGCATCTAAGAAGAGTCACCACCCAAGAAATGTACACACACCACTACCTTGGAAAAACAATTCAAAATGAGATCATATAGTTACTGGCAACAAAAGTCAAACAGAAGATTGTGGCAGATCTGAAGTCAGCAAGATATTACTCTTTTATTCTGGACTGCACACCTGACATCAGCCATATGGAACAAATGACTTTAATGGTGCATTTTGTAACAACAACAGAACCTAGTGAAAATGTCCCTGCAATGGTGACTGTCAGAGAGCATTTTCTAGAATTTATTGACATTGATGATACTACAGGAGCTGGTATGACAAATGTGCTTCTTAAAAAGCTGGAAGATACGGGAATTGCGATAGCTGACCTGAGAAGTCAGGGCTACGATAATGGTGCCAACATGAGAGGAAAGAACAGAGGAGTGCAGACACGGATCTGAGAGTTAAACCCTCGAGCTTTTTTTGTCCCATGCAGTCCTCATTCATTGAACTTGGTGGTCAGTGGTGCAGCATTAGCTTCTAGTGAGGCTGCTGAATTTTTTAATGTAATTCAAAGCATCTATGTATTTTTCTCTGCATCAACTCATCGATGGCAAATTTTGAAGCAACATCTGGGAACGTCCTCTCTGACACTGAAACCACTGAGTGTCACACAATAGGAAAGTCGAGTGGAGGCAGTAAAGCATATCACACACCACATTGGGAAGATAGATGATGCCATAATTGCCATTATGGAGGATAATGCTATGACAGGAACTGTTCGTGGGAGAAGAGTGGCAGAGGAAAATGGAATCACCAGAAACATACATAACTTCAAATTTCTGTGTGGCTTAGTGTTGTGGCATGACATACGGTTTGAAATAAATGTTGTAAGCAATAGACTCCAAGGTGTTGACCTTGATACATCTGGAGCAATGGAACAAAAAAGCAACAAAGCAAAGTCATACCTACAGTCTTACCAGTCAGATGAGGGATTTCAAAACATTCTGAAGAGTGCACGGAAGTTGGCAGAGGAACTTCACACTGAAGCTATTTTCCACCCATTCAAGAATACAAGAGTCACCGAAGAAGAAGGCATTTTGATTACGAGGCACAGGATAAGAGACCCCAAACAACAATTCAAAGTTGAATGCTTTAATCAGGTGCTAGATTGTGCAATATAATCAGTTGAAGAACGTTTCATGCAGCTCAAGGAACACAGCAGTATATTTGGGATGTTGTATGATATTCCAAAACTCCTCACTATACCTGAAGAAGACCTACACCAGCAATACAGGGCACTAGAGACAGTGTTGACACATGATGACATGCGCGATATTGATGCTAGTGATTTAGGGGGTGAACTGAAAGCCCTTTCAAGATACATTTCAGCAGGATCAACTCCAAAGGCTGTTCTGGAATATATGTGCACAAATAAGATGAGCACCCTCTTTCCAAATGCTTTTGTTGCTCTGAGCATACTTCTAACACTTCCTGTAACAGTTGCCAGTGGAGAACGCAGCTTCTCCAAGCTGAAGTTAATAAAAACACATCTACACTCCACAATGACACAGGAGAGGCTGGTCGCCCTTGCAGCCATCTCAATAGAGCATGAGCTGGCCCAGACTGTGGACCTTCAGCAGGAAGCAGTTCAAATCTTTGCAACCAAGAAGGCTCGGAAAGCACCACTTTGATTATTCAAACAGATAAAAATGCCAGTGTTTACTATGCAGACAAGAAAAGTTACATTTGCTGTTCAGGTGTTTGAAAGTTAAGTGTTACTTAAAATTTTTGAACAAGGCATTTTAAGTTGTTAGTTCTTCTTTATTGGGGTAGGTAGCAGAGTAGTATCATGAGAAGAGTAGAACTGGAAGAAGCCAGAATTGAGACCTTTCAAAGCTTTGGCCCAAGCGAGGGGACATGAGGGCGTCATTTGTGCTCCCTGCCTCAGGTGCCAAAATGTTGTGGGCCGGCCCTGGCTGGCCCTTTCAGACCTTGCTCTCCTAGTCTTTCAGGTCAGTTCCCACAATCCTCAAATCCTTATGTTGTCTTTCTTCTGGGCCTAGAAGCAACACCCCAGTTCAGTCTTCTTCTAGTTCATGGCGTGCAGAAGAAGGAATACCCACGTAGGCTGGTGGGTTTCACCCCAGTCCTTGGGTGTTTCTCGTCCTGGTCCTGCTCCTTTGGTGGCTTCTTCCCAGTTTCCTGATGATAGCTCCCAACCTCGCTGCAGCCTCTTATTCCAAGTGTTGCTGATCTGCCAATCAGCTGCAGCTGGAGAGGTAGCTACTCTGTCTCTTAACCTCTTAGTGGGTGTGGCAGAATGGGGTTTAGACACTCAATCACCCCCCCCCCCTTAAAAATATAGCACATGATCCAGCTACAAGCAGTGTGTTGCCCCCAGGAAGAGAAAAGTGCCAGAGACTCATTACATGAAGTCATTAGGGATTTGCTGTTGCTATTGATTTTACATAGAAGATGCTCAGATACTACCCTGGTGGGTGGGAGTATAAAGCCATTATATAGGTAGAAGACAATATTGAAGAAGAGTCAAGCAATCTATCTGTGTCATCTACAGGTCTGTTCATCACAGGATAGGGCCCTCCGCAGCTATCTTAGCAGCCCAATGAGGACTGGGTTAATTAGGTGCCTGAGATTTTGTCAGCAGCCCTACTGCCCCTGCAGATCTGCCCCCACTACCCCCATCTCATGCATAAGTATGGGGTGTAAGCGATGTCCTTCATGATCATTTGGAACATGCGGTTTGACAGCCTAGAAATGGAGGAGATTTAGAAGTCTCTAAAACTGTCCAGTACGGAACACATGAAATGGCATCCCTCATTACAAAGCTGATTGGTTACAAGATCTAAAACTGCACCCCCTCATTATAAAACCCATATGTGAATACATCCATTCCTCCTCCCTCCCTAGTCATCACCTTTTGATAGCCAAAAGCTGTACCTCAGGCCATCAGCTCCTCCTTGGTGGTCACTGATATCCAGGAAATGCTTTGCACCTCGCTTGTTATTGTTTACGGATAATCCTCTAGTGTCAGAGTATCCCTGCGCAGCTAATGCCATCAGGAGAGGGAGGAATCCTACCTTCAGCCTCTGGGTGAATTGGGTTGGGAGGTGCAGGTGGCAGCCAATACTAAACATTCACAGCCTGAGCCAAAGCTTTTCAAACTGAGCACAATCAAGCTGCTGTGTTTGGCTCTGTGATTGCATGGCCGATGATCAGAAGTGGGTCTGAGCTCCAATGTGCAAAGTCAATTTTTACCTCACTCCAGGGGTGATCAGATGCAGAGTTTTCGTTCAGACCTATCTCTGATAGTTATGTAAAAATTAGCATTCCATAGTTAGACGATAAACCTGACCCAGGGGTGTTTTGAAGAGAAATCACTAATGTGTCTGAAGGCACTTACACACTGAGGTGACCAGGGCAAGCTAAAGTACCCAACTAGAAAGACAGAGAGGTGTCGTGTTCTAACATGGTGTAATTTCCCAGTGGAGCCAGGCCCTGTGTGCTCACTTACACCCTGTATAAAGTGGGTACAAAAAAAATTGCCAGCAGTGTAAATGAATGAATAATTCTGGTCTTATGGTGTTTATTCTGGTGTAAATGGCAAAACAAGGTCCAAGGCAGTGCATCATCATCCCGCTGCCAGTACCTAATGGCAGCGAGGGCTATGCAGTGTGAAATGCAGCAGGTTGGGTTCTGGAGGTTTCTGTGAATTTTTTTCTTCAGTTCTCATTTATGTGGGTTTCATAGCCCTGAAATTTCACTGTAGGTTTCGGATCTGAAGGAACCCGCAAATCCCAAAGCAACGATCAGAACTGCTCAGCTTCATGTTGTTTCAGGACTGAGGCATGAACGGTTTCAGCCTCCCTTGGAGTTGGGCATAGGGTCACTTGAAAAATTCACAGACTTTTACACTTTAATTAAACTTAAAACTAGGGGAGGGTCATGTAGTTCCAGATTCTCTAATGGAAGTTACACAAAGCTGCAATTTTCAAGAGCCTGACTGAGCTGTAGAAAGGGGGCAGCACCTCCCTAATGAGGGATTGTGACTCATGGAGTTGTGCCCATTGCACTATCCTTTGGGATGGAGTAATCAGCTCTCCCCTGATGCATCCAGCCCTCTTAGGAAGGGATTGGAGTCTGGACCATGGCTATTTTCCCTCCTGCCCCCAGCATTTATATCAACTACACTTTAGATGGTATCCTTGTCAGGAACCTTACCTTTGAGTTGGAAGAAAAAGCCACGCACAGATGAGGACAAAATATCTGCAATACATTTCTGGAGTTTGTTTCAGTGCTGGCTGTGATACTTCTACTGATCATCTGCGAAGCAGAAAGGAACAGCATGTAATTTTCAGCAATTTAAGGAAAATGTGCACGAGCACACATAGAGATATGATCCTGGGGGAGTGGATGGGGGACAAGAGTTAAACATTTCTTCTATAATCTGAACATCAGGGCCTGATCCAGCACTCTCAACACATATGGACTCCAGAATCTGTTCTTTCTTTCTTTCGGTTCTGTAATGATGCCCATACCATGGTCTCTCAGCAATGTCTTCCACATAAAAGAGACTGGCAATGCTCAGTGCACTTCATGGAGGCTCTGGATTTGATACCATTTCTCCCACAGAAAATGTGGCTTGGGGTTGAGTTTTTGGTTTAAGAAGGGCAGAAAGAAGGATTGATGTGAATGGCATTCTGGCTACAGTGGAAAATCTTTATTAAGTAGGAAGGCTTTTCAGCATTTCCTAACAGTGATCCAACTCTGGATTCATCTGATCTCCTTTCCTCACAGCAGGGTTTTAGCTTCTAACACAACCGGGCCCCAAATATTGCTTTAAAATGTTTTAGTCTCTGTACTCCATTAGGTCATGCCTGCGATAAACGTATGGTTATTAATAGTACCACTGGCAGGTAACTCAGGGTTCGCTACAGGATGAAATCATTCTATTTTAAAATAGTTTTGTTGACTTTTCTGGGAGTGGAACTGAATCTTGGCTTTCAGCCTTAGAGTTCCTCAGGTCTGTGCTTTTCTGAAAGGAACAACATGATGATCAACTAGCCTTCATCTGACAACAATGTACCTGCAGCCCCTCTCCAGTATTAAGTTCACTGAACAAAAGAGTGGGTCAGTTAAAAAGCTTCCCTAAAGCATATGGATGGCTGTGTCACACTCCCAAATAAATGTACTTTCTAACAAGAACAAACTAGGAGTTAGCTGATCTGCACACACTGTGGTTGCTAAGACATTCTCATTACTTGGCCATGCTGAACTCAAGTTGGGAACATGATGTTGTACCATCAAACCCATTAAACCACTCCAAATGAGCATGCAAATACGTCTGAGTATATGAGTGCTTTCATGCAGATATTGGCAAGGAAATATTCAGCTTTGATGGACCATGTTCTGCACTGAGTTACATTTATGTAAGTCTGGAATAACTCTATGCAAGTCAGTGCAGTTACTCTGGATTTAGGCCAGTGAAAGCAACTGAGAACAGAATTTAACTCAATGTGTTTTCTCATTATGGCCTGAAATTTGCATTCAAACTTCAGAGCTGGCCCTTATTCCATAATGCCCCAAACTAAAACACCCCCAAACTTTGAACATTTCCTATTTTGCAGTTAGAGCCATCTCATTTAGCACACTGTGGCCCAAATGTGCATTACAATCCTGCCCATTTGCATTACTCAGGTGGTACAAAGGGGCTGGATTCAGACTGTAACTTGCCAGTGGAGAACTCCCTGGGCAAAGGGGTATTCCATGCTGATGCAAAGCCAGCAGAGCTGGTTACTGCACCAGCTGCTCAATCCACCATATAAAGAGCATTCCCAGAGAGAGAAAAGACACACCAGGGCAGAGCGCAAGCATCATCAAGTTCTGTTTTATTTGCCCAGGCTTCACTGGTGTAGTCTCTCTATGGGACCATATTCCAGTGGCCTAACTCGTGTGGAGCCCAGGCTGTGAAAATCAGAGAGCTGTAACCAGCTCCCTGATGGCTCCTCCCTGCTCCTGTGCTGAGCTGAGCTCAGATGCAAGGGAGAATCTAGCCCACTGTTAGCATCCAGAAGTCCTGACTTGGGACTAGCTTGGGCAAGGCTGAGAGTTTGCCCTGGATGGGGTAGGCTCTATAAATTTTCAGCAGGGATAGCAAACCACCCAATGCTAGAGTGGATGCCACTTCTCTTTAAGGAAGTGATGCCAGCAGTAGCCATCCTGCCACCCTATTGCTAGGCAGAGGTGGTTGTACACGTCATTAAAAAGCAAGCCTTGCAATAACTAGATTAAAGAATAATCAAAAACATTGGCTGCCTGTGCTGCCAGCGGCTGCTTTTAAATGTAAGAGGAAAGAAATGAGTTTTGATGGGAGAGAAATGAGTCCTAAAGCCTGGGGTTCAGTGACCTATCACCTTAGTGCCTCACTCCGCTGTTTGATTCAGGTGCTCTTAAGGGCAGATCTGAGCTTGAGTTTCTCAAGTCCTAACCTACCTGCTGTATGTAATGGATGGGATCAGCATATGGGAACCGAGGGAAGAGGCTTGCTGTTCTTTTCTCATGGCATTCCTGGCAGCAGCTCCATGAAACAATATGGCAAGCAGTTTCAGCTAGGCACCACAATGAACCCAAAGGAATCATATAAGGAGAATCAAGTGGGGGCAAAAATGGGGTATGAATGGAGTGTTTCCCCAAAATGAAATATATTCTGACATCGCTAGTTCTCTGTGTAAATTCTGACAAGGCTCTTGCATATCTATCACTTTTCATCCAATTTGGCATGCACATGGCCCTGCCCACCACTGAAACACAACTGGAATTGTTTTAACAGCTCACAGCAACACTACACAACAGTTTAGGATGGAAAGTGGAGAACATTGTATCCAGTTGAAATTACTGAGGGGGGGGGGGGCTCTTATGGAGGCAGAATTCAATTATTCAAATTGGCATTGGGCCAGAGCACTAGGATTAACACAGCTCCTCTCCTGAAAAGTGCCGTGAGATGTTAAATAGAATAAAGTGCTGGAGTCGAGGTCTGGTATTCTCATTTCATGTGAAAGACGGCCTCTTTAGAAGAGCAGTGCTCATAAATGCCATGATGGGCACATCACCTGCTGGATTACCAATGCAATGCACTTATTCCCGTTAGTAGTGTCCCATCCAGATTGTGACCCACCCTAGCTCTGCTTAGCAGACAAAAAGCCGACAGTGTTGCAGCTTGAAGACTAATTAAAATCTAAAGAGTATTGTGAGCATGAAGTAATACCTGATTCATTTTGCCCTGTGGATAAGCCAGTTCTTGTTTTGTTTTTTTCCCCACAAGTGAAAAAACAAGCTAGTAAGTTCACCAAGTTACAGAGCCTTTGCTTTACACACATGGTTGAGAGGTCACTGAATTTTATCATCCTGGGTTCCTTACATTCTCTTCCTAACTTCAAACTTAGAAGAGCTTGCTATAAAAAAAATACCCAATTCATTTTTAATCCTTGAAAACAGAATAATGAACTAGTTCACTGAGACATTTTCGTTCTGAGGATTCAATCGCTCATTCCTCTACAACTGGATGGGAGTCAAGGCATAAGACCTGAGCTCCATTGCCCTACACTTGTGTCATCATTTACATCAGTGGACATTTGGATGTGATAACATTTTACACTCACTCTGCTCAGTGGAAATCACAAAATAAGGTGCAGGGCTATGGAGAATCAGGCCATTCCAATCTACTATGTCTGTCTCAATGCATATTCCTAAAATGGTTTCAGTTAGTCTGTTTTGTAAAATGGCAAAAATATAAATTTCCAAAAGAGAATATGTTACATGGTAGATTTAAAAGAATGGGTTATTTATTCCTCCCTGTGGCTTCATGAATTTTGATGTCTTGTTAAATTACTTAGAGGCTTTTTGCTTGAAAGTTGATATGACCTTGATTTCAATGGCTGTTAAAAGCCTACTATTCCTTTAAGGATCTGGGCCTCAGCATTTCTGTTGCTTTGTCCCCATCTGTAAAATGGGTTTAATAGCATTTCCCTACCTCAAAGGGCAGTAGTGAGGAGAAATACATTAACGATTGTGAAGCACTCAGGTGTAATGGTAATGGGCACTAGATAAGTACCAAAGCTAGCTAGATAGTACTGTACTTGTATGAAAGATAGTACTTCCTAGCACCAAACACAGCCAGAGTGTAAACATCCTCTCTCCCCAAGTTCAACTTCTTTCAGAAAAATGAGGTATTTAAGTTTGAAAAATGACAGAGAACATATACAATATTTCTTTCTTACAGGCTTCTTTTTTTAGTGATGTTAAGTCCCTGTTCACTCCTGTCACAACATCCTCACGATGGTTCCAGCGTACTACTACAGAGACTGAGTTTCCAAATAAGGTTAAAACAGTAAAAGAAACAATTTCACTGGAAGTCTATTGAGTTCCGTATGTGATTCCATTATAAACTTGTTAGAATGTAGGCTGTAATGGCAAAATGGATTTCAGTGGACCTGAAGACATTGGGCCAAAATGTATTGGTGTAAGGAACCCTAACTGAATTCCATGAAGTTGCACCAGTTACATCAGAGCAAAATCTATCATTGAAATGCTGTTGTGATTTGAGTTTACAAAGAGAGAACAATGTAATGTCAGTGCAGCATCTAGATAACTGATTACTATAGAATTACCAGGGCAAAATGATTTCATTGCAACTCTCCCATGACATAAAAAGGATTGAACAGTGTCATAATCCTAAATTATCTTGATGTTAATAAAAAAAAAACTAAGGGGATTAGACACACAGTCTATAATGAAAGCGTAGGAAGGAAGAGAATAAACTCACAAAACCAAGTGCATTACCATTCTATACTCCACTTAAATATGCACCTGCCTCTGATGTCAAAGAATTTTTACAGTATAACTCCATTGATTTCACTGGAGTTAGTCTTGATTTGCGTCAGCCTGATTGAAATGAGAATGATGCCCTTTATCTATGATTTACTATTGATCCCAAATATATAGGGAGATGGGAGTGCCAAAACTATTGCTTTGTGTGGTACTATTCAGCACAAGAATCCCAACAGGCCAATAAATACACATACTCTTCCACTTATATATTCCAAGAGCTGTAATCAAAGATTACAAATTACTGCAGTAAAGCAGATTGGAAAAAGATTGTATCTGGTACAATATATTTTTGTTTTTCTAATTAACTAGTCAAGAATTTTAGTTGATTGCAGGAACAATGTTAGGCTCTGTTTAATTTGGATTTTTCTTATACTGTCAGTAAAATACAACA